AACATTCACATACAGTTGCACATTAACCAACCTACCAGTATTAACTTTCACATGCAGTTACACATTAACCTACCTACAAGTATTAACTTTCACATGCAGTTACACATAAACCAACCTACCAGTATTAACTTTCACATAGTTACACATTAACCAACCTACCAGTATTAACTTTCACATGCAGTTACACATAAACCAACCTATCAGTATTAACTTTCACATACAGTTGCACATTAACCTACCTACAAGTATTAACTTTCACATACAGTTACACATTAACCTACCTACCAGTATTAACTTTCACATACAGTTACACATTAACCTACCTACAAGTATTAACTTTCACATGCAGTTACACATAAACCAACCTACCAGTATTAACTTTCACATGCAGTTACACATTAACCTACCTACCAGTATTAACTTTCACATGCAGTTACACATAAACCAACCTATCAGTATTAACTTTCACATACAGTTGCACATTAACCAACCTACCAGTATTAACTTTCACATGCAGTTACACATAAACCAACCTATCAGTATTAACTTTCACATACAGTTACACATTAACCAACCTACCAGTATTAACTTTCACATACAGTTGCACATTAACCAACCTACCAGTATTAACTTTCACATGCAGTTACACATTAACCAACCTACCAGTATTAACTTTCACATGCAGTTACACATAAACCAACCTATCAGTATTAACTTTCACATACAGTTACACATTAACCAACCTACCAGTATTAACTTTCACATACAGTTGCACATTAACCAACCTACCAGTATTAACTTTCACATGCAGTTACACATTAACTTTCACATACAGTTACTCATTATCGTTCGCATGCTGTTACTCGTCATTTCACATGCAGGTACTCATCATTTTTCACAGGCAGGTACTCGTTAACTTTCACATGAAGCTACTCATTAACTTTCGCTTGCAATTACTCAACAACTTTCTCACGCAGTTACCTATCGATTTTCACTGCAGTTACACATTAGCTTTCACATGCAGTTACACATCAACTTTCACAAGCAGTTACTCGTCGCCTTTCGCATGCCCGTTACTCATTACCTTCGCTTGCAAGTTACTCATTAACTTCAGTGCAGTTACTTATCATTTCACATGCAGCTACTCATAAACTTCGCTTACAAATTACTCATCAACTTTCAGATGCAGTTCCACATCAACTTTCTCTGCAGTTACACATAGACTTTCACATGCAGTTACCGGTTAACTTCGCTTGCAGTTACTCATTACCTTTCACATGCTTGCTACTCGTCTTTCACATGCAAGTACTCATATCTTTCACATGCAGCTACTCGTTACCTTTCGCATGCAGCTACTGGACATTTTCCGATGCAGTTACATATCGATTTTCACTGCAGTTACACATTAGCTTTCGCATGCAGTTACACATTAACTTTCACTGCAGTTACTCGTTGCCTTTCGCATGCAGCTACTCATTAACTTCGCTTGCAAGTTACTCATTAACTTCACGTACAGCTACTCACCATTTCACTGCAGTTACACGTTAACTTCGCTTGCAAGTTACTCATACTTTCACCTCAAGTTACTCGTACTTTCATATGCAGTTACACATATGACTTTCGCAAGCATTTACTCAATAACTTTCACCGCAGTTACACATTAACTTCCACTTGCAGCTACTCATAAACTTCATCTGCAGATACTCATCAACAGTAACATGCACTTTACTCATCGACTTTCACCTGTAGTTACACATAGACTTTCACTGCAGTTACACATCGACTTTCACAGCAGTTACTAAATAACTTTTACATGCAGTTACACATTAACTTTCACATGCAGTTACTCATTAACTTTCACATGCAGTTACACATTAACTCTCACATGCAGTTACACATTAACTCACATGTAGATACACATTAACTTTCACATGCAGTTACACATTAACTCACATGTAGATACACATTAACTTTCACATGCAGTTACACGGTAACACATTACAATAAGGTTCGTTAGTTAACATTAGTTAACTACATTAGTTAATATGAACTAATAATGAATAGCACATATACAGCATTTGTTAATCTTTGTTAATGTTATTTTCAACATTTACTAATACTTGATTAAAATCTTGTTAACATTAGTTAAAGGGTTAGTTCACCCAAAAATGAAAATTCTGTCAGTATTTACTCACCCTCATGTTGTTCCAACCCCGTAAGACCTTCGTTCATCTTCGGAAAACGAATTAAGATATTTAAGATATTAAGATCGCTCCTGCATACAGTCCATAGGCTTCTTGAGGGACTGGCTCTTGCCGTCCCCGAAAAGTCATAAAAGACATCGTTAAAATAGTCCAAGTGACTACAGGGGCTCAATCTTAAGTTTATCAAACGACGAGAACACTTTTGTGCGCAAAAAAACAACAAAAATAACGACTTTATTTCAACTATTCGTTTATTTCTCCCTCTGCGCGAGTCAGCTAACTAGTTTAATAGCGTAAGCTTCTGTTATTGTACGTCACACGCATCACACACACATGACCAGCGTCGACCAATAGTGAGCCTACGTGTGACGTAGCTCTACGCAATCACACTACGTTAACTGACTTACAGGCTCATGGAGAAGGAAGTGAATAGTTGAAATAAAGTCGTTATTTTTGTTGTTTTTTTGCGCACAAAAGTGTTCTCGTCGTTTGATAAACTTAAGATTGAGCCCCTGTAGTCACTTGGACTATTTTAACGATGTCTTCAATTACTTTTCGAGGACAGCAAGAGCCAGTCCCTCAAGAAGCCTATGGACTGTATGCAGGAGCGATTTTAATATCCTAAATATCTTAATTTGTGTTCCGAAGATGAACGAAGGTCTTACGGGGTTGGAACAACATGAGGGTGAGTAAATACTGACAGAATTTTCATTTTTGGGTGAACTAACCCTTTAATGCACCGTAAACTAACATGAACAAACAATGAACAGCTGTGTTTTCATGAACTAACATTAACAAAGATGAACAAATGCAGTAACAAATGTATTGCTCATGGTTAGTGCATGTTAGTAAATACATTAACTAATGAACCTTATTGTAAAGTGTTACCAGTTACACATTGTCGGTTAAAAACAAGAAAGTGGCTAGTAAAAACGTCGAGTGGCTGGTCGATTTAGAAATCCACAGTGGCCGCCGGTGGACAAAAGAGTTGATTTCCATCCCTGCTTGGTAAATGTCAAGGTGTCATAACAAAGACATCTCAAACAATGTCATATTTGCATTAAAACTTTCATAACTGAGCAAAAGACACTTAATGACAGTTGTCACAAACATGCATAAACCTTCCTTCATATTCATAACATACATCATGTTAGTCTTATGCATACCCCTTCAAGTAACGTGTTACCAAAGAACGAATCTCAGACAGTTCATAAGAGAAACGTGTGCAGTATTCCGTGTTGCAAGAATGCGGTCTTGACGAAGCCTAACTTGCTTCATAAATGTAATATATTTTTTTAATATTTAATTTATCAGTCAGAGCAGGAATCAAGGCTACATTCAGCTAGGGCTGTCGCGGTTATGGAATTTCCCTTGCGGTAATGTTGAGTGGCTCAATAGCGCGATATGCGGTATTACCGCCATTTATTTATTTATTTAATTTATAAGTATTTGTTGCTATATAAATAAAGTGTACGATGTGGACAAAAACAGGGTCATTTAACCAATAACCGAAACTAAACAGCGTCTATATGCGCATTGAAAGCATGATTGAAAGGCTTTCACTCAGCGCGCATATTGTTATGACAACGGACTTTGAACCGTTCATTCAACGAACACGTTCAAAGAAGCTGATTCGTTAAAAGAGATGTAATGAAACAAGATGTTAATTATTTTTAACTTTGAGTTCCACTTTCAAGGCTCCGCTGATCAGCAATGCGTCGCATGGGTAACGCGGAAGCTGATGCTTCACTTATTAGAGACCAATATGGCATTGATTCAATGCGTGACTCTGTGATATTATTTTCTGCGGCTTCCTCGCGCTGTGGGATGCTGACCAGCGCTGCTGCTGACGCGCATTTGTGGAAAATACCCGTGACGTGAAGCTTAAAATGATGATACGACAAATATTTCGCTTTCCTTTGACACGGCAACCTTTTCACGACTTCAAAGACAGACGCAGGTAATCGCACGCGCTCTGCAGATCTCTCTCATTCACTGTCTGTGTGAAGCCTCTGTAGGCTACACATCACCAAGATAAACAGTCTTGTTGTTATCATTATGAACTTGTTTAGCGTTCAATACACATGCATGAAGTTCAAAACAAGAAGAAGCCTTATAAAAAAAAAAGTGAATATCGCGGTTGCTGCGGTTACGTGCAATCCTCTGCGGTTGACTTGTCAGAAGCGCGGTACTGCAATATTGCGGTTATCGCGACAGCCCTACATTCAGCAGACAGTTGTAAACAAAGCCAGCGGAGCGATTATCTCTGTCCATCTTGAGGAATGAAAACGGTTGAACCAAAGAACGTATATTGACAAGAAGTGAACGCTCCATTGCAACACAAGTATTTTGCAGTATTATCTTATATTAATGACCGTTAAAACAAAACTATGTAAACAAAAAAAAACACAGCCACTGTTCAAAGTGGCAATTAAAGTCATAGGATAACGGACACAGCGCATCAATGATCATCATGTTTGTAGCATGATCCAGGGGATTAAAACGTACAAAATATATTTCAGGCCTAATGGAGTTGGTAACTAATATAAGTAGTAAATGTGTAAAGTTGCATACAATGGAAATACCATAGACTGTAAAAAAAATGGACAAAGCGTCTGTGACGTCACTCATAGACTTTCTGAAGAACAGGTTTGAGGCTGTTTATGGGGGTATGGGCGGCGCCATATTAGAAAATCTTGAGAAATACAAAATACAAATGTTCAGAAATACAAATGTTTCAGAAAGGATACAGAGATGCGTCGTGTCAGATCATGGCCAAGACGTCCAATTCCACTCGGCGCAGCCCGTTATCAGCTGTCAATCAAAGTTAACCGCCCTTATTTTTCATACATTTTACATCCAATTACGATCTAAACTAACGAGTTAGAAAAAATTCACTCACCTCACAGTTGTCAGGCACTCGGAACCTATCGAAAAATACAATAAAAGTCAAACTGTAAACATATGAATTGATGCTGTGAAAACGGACATTTTAATGTGAGGTCTATGGATATTCACCCCCTTTTGGGACCGACCTCTAGCGGATTTTCGATGTATTGCAGTTTTTCCCACTTCCGGGTAGGCTTCATTTTTCAGATTAGAATTTTGCCGCTTGGGAAAAATTAGAAGAAAAAACTACCTCAAAAAACTGTTATCTATGCTGTTGTCCAGTAACTTTAGTTGGAATTTTCACCCCAAAATGGCGGCCGCGCTCCTGAAGCGCCACCTAGTGGCTTTTACCAAAAAAGCATCAGAGTTTTGCTTCTTGTTCTTCTATACTCTTTGGTTGAACTCTGACCAATAAGACGATCGTTTTATACACGTGGCTTGCATAAACACATTTTGGTACGCTGCTTTGAAATGTTGCCTTGTGAAAGCAAACCGAACGAGTAAAAAATTAAATCCGTGTTTCAGAACTGTTGTGGAAAAATTTTTAAGTTAGCTTGATTCTATAGTAATTATTAAGAGTTAATTATTAGAAGTTGATCAATGAATGATTTGATAGAAATAGATTTGTGTTGAGCAAAATGTATGAGTACAGCATGTGCTTTTTACGAGTCCTACGTGAGGAACATGCATGGGGAAACATAGAAACAGGTGGAAAGAAGACCTTTGACCCCAGATGTCATCCTGACTAGGCCGGTCAGCAAGTGCTGACCTTTTCTGCAGCAGTGTAAGACTTCCTTATCAGGCGCTAACTTGTACAACTTGAAACCTTGAGTTTGAGTATAAAAGCTGTGTGGAGGGGGCAGACTGGGTGTCACTCACCACAGCGTTACTTCTGTGTCAGACTGAACCTTCTTGCAAGAATAAAGTACTTCTTTTATTTCATTAATTTGACTATGAGTGTCTCTTACGCAGTGATGATGTTGGAAAGGATTTTTGCCGTAACAGAACAAAGAAAATGACCTACAGGTATGAAAATACAGCCCTACACTGCAACCTATGGCATGAGTTGGGCTTTGCTAATCAGGTTTTCTGATAATCAAGTCATTTTGTGTGAAAAGACAATGGTCATGAAAACAGTAGACTTCCTTTTGGAAAAAAATACTTTCGGCATTTGGTTGGAGAGACGGTGCTCACAGAAGGCACATGCAAACTTTCTTTCTCAATTGGCTCATTTTGGCTTTCATGGGCTCTATAATAACATTTTCTACCTCATGAATTTCGCTGAATATGAAATGAATATCTTCATAAATGGATATTAAAGGCTTTAGCTGTGCTTTGCCGCTGGAGTATAATAGAAACCCACATTTTGCTTAAGCCGAAAAATAACTCCTGGAAAAGAAACCGTCGAGGTATAAAACGGTTAACGGTAAAGCGGTAAACGTGCGTGGGAGAGAGCAGACCTTGCCTATATCAGAGCAACTCAAAATTTTTCAAAATTTTTGTTTTTTTGGGTGCAAAAAATAAGTTTCTCCAATCTTCTTGAAACTTAGGATTCCGATAGAGGGCCATGGGACTTAGACCTGAGTGCAAAAATGGAGGATCTAGACCCGTCCAGAGCTGAGATATCGAAACTCAAAATTTCGACCCGAAAAAAAAAACACAACAGGGGTACCACTGTCGTTTTTTTTTTTTTTCGGGTCGAAATTTTGAGTTTCTCTGATCTTCTTGAAACTCTGGATTCTGATAGAGGGCCATGAGACTTAGACATGAGTACAAAAATGGAGTCTCTAGACCCTTCCAGAGCTGAGATATTGAGACATTTATAATGGCATAAATGCTACGTGAGATCTCAATATCTCACCTCTGGAAGGGGCTAGAGCCTCCATTTTTGTACTCATGTCTAAGTCTCATGGCCCTCTATCAGAATCCAGAGTTTCAAGAAGATCAGAGAAACTCAAAATTTCCACCTGAAAAAAAACAAAAAACGACAGTGGTACCCCTGTCGTTTTTTTTTTTTTTTTTGGTGCAAAAAATAAGTTTCTCCAATCTTCTTAAAACTCTGGATTCTGATAGAGGGCCATGGGACTTAGACCTGAGTGCAAAAATGGAGGCTCTAGACCCTTCCAGAGCTGAGATTTTGAGATCCCACGTAGCATTTATGCCATTGGGTTCGTGGTCGGTGGAATTATGGGACGGCGCTTGGTGCTACGGACTCAGGGGCCCTAGCTGAGTGCAGTAAAATAGTTTTTATCATGACAGGAACTTTAATTAAAATGTCCACAAAAAAAACACTACCCAAATCCCCATTCAATAGATTGCAGGCGGGATTCTGTCCAATTGCAGCTTATTGCATGAAGGCCGGGGTTAGTACATTTAAGTGGGTTATTGGACAAATAGTGTGTTCGCGGACAGTGGATTCTGGGACGGCGCTTGGTGCTACGGACCCCGGGGGGTCTCCTGAGTGAGGGAAAATAGTTTTTATCACGACAGAAACTTTAATTAAAATGTCTATCAAAAATACTCCCCCAAATCCCCATTCAATAGATTGCCGGTGGGATCGCGTCCAATTGCAGCTTATTGCATGAACTGCGGAAAAACTTTAAAAAATATAGTGGGTTATTGGACAAATAGTGGGTTTGTGGGACGGGGGCAAGGCCCCGGAGTGGTAAAGGGACGTTTGGTAAATATAGTGGGTTATTGGACAAATAGTGGGTTTGTGGGACGGGGCCGTGTCCGGGGACCAGTCAGTGGGTGGGGGGCCGGTCGCCCTGACGAAGCGGTGGTCGGTTGGAGACCTCCATTCCACGCTCATTCACGGCATCATCAAGCTATGCCTTTGTTTAGAATAAGCGACTTCTAGTGGCGAAACTTACATACTGTGCCTTTAATAAAGAATCAAGAATGAACACCAACCTCTTTGTTCTTCAGTATGTTTCATTCTGCAGTGTTCTGGATCTCATGTTCTCACTGTCCTTCAATAAACTCTGTGTTTGTGTCAGCTCTTCCTGATGGTTTGATGCTCCTCTTCACTTGTAGCTGAGGGGAATATTCCAGCGTTTATTGGTGAACTGCAGTGGGAGGAGTTTCACTGGAGGAGGAGGAGCATCACTGAAGGAGGAGATCTGACAAAATCAATAAGAAAACACATACTGAGTTTGTTTTTATACTAATCAACACATTTTAAATGTTTATGCCCACCTAAGTAACTTTTAAGTTAATTAATCTCAAAGGTCTGATTTCACAGACAGGGCTTGGATTAAGCCAGGAATAGGCCTTTGTTCAATTTAGGACATTTAAGTAGCTTTTGGGCTAGGGGTGTAACGATACCCTCATGTTAGGATTCGTTATATATCATAATAGTAAACTCCGAATATCGAATGATATTGCGATACTGCAAGACATATGGTAAAAGGTAAACAAAGAAATTACTGTTGACTAAAATGCTAAATTTGGTATTACATTGGGAGTGGAAATGAAAAGGTTTGGACTTGGTGCTGGGAAACCAATGCACAGGACCACAGACACCGGAATAAAAAGAATTCATGATTCTGAAGCTGAAAATAATACAGAATTATATTTAGATGAATATGCTTGCAATTTTATTGGTAACATAGGACATTTGGCATTATCAGGACTGACAAATATCCCCTCATTGCTTTATTATACTCAACATAATACAGTAGTTTAATGTAGTACCACCGACACTAAAACTCTATAAACTTGAATTTTTCATTTTGGGTGAACAACACTCAAAACCGATTGTTACTATCGGCGCAATGCCCTGAACACACACTAAATGTACACGATCTTGAATACCGCATTGGAGCGTATCCCATCATGCATTAGGTGCGGGAACTCACATGCACTGAAATCACAAGATGATGAGGAAAACATTCCACTGTAAGTTAAATGAACTACATTTTACATGTAATTTGGTAGAAAAACACATTGTTAAAGTGTCATTATAATGTTGCAAAGATGAGTATGGTATGTGTATTTTGTACATTTGCAGCTGCTTTTTAAATCACTTAATTAAAAGCACCATTTTTTTAATTATGCTTTTTGTTACATTGGGACTACTAACCAGTAGGGGTGTAACGATTCACTCGTTTTCTCGATGCATCGATTATAAATCCTGGCGATGCATATGCATCGATCCTGAAACATGTATTTTGAATCGTGAATCGTTTATTTACGTGAATAATCGATTTAAAAGGCTAAGAATCGAATTAATCACGATTTTATAGCGATTCAGTGGTTTAAAATATATAAACACAACCTTAAAGTGTTCCTGGTACAAGCTGCCTCACGACATCCGCATTTGATTGGTTTCAGGCGCTCACACACCCCTGATTTCTCACGCTGAAGCCCGGTCGGTCTAATGCCTGAAAGATGAGTTATTCTTTCTACCTGTTGAGCTACTCATGTCGTGATCAGCTTGTATTACCGCAAATTAGTTAAAATCTCCCGGAATCAAGAGCGAGCGTGCATACGAGACAGAGGTTGTGCTCCAAACCGCGTATCGCGCGTTCACACACGGCTGCACGCACTCGGCAGAGAGGGAAAGCGAGCGAGAGACCACCTTGCATGTACGGAGAGTCCATGTAATAAATGAATGAAAGCGTTTTATTTCCTAGTGCCCACACAATGGCATGGCAATGGCATGGCAAACATGGACTGCTCAAAAATCTGTAGTTAACGTTATGAAAGCATGAGAGATGGGACCGAGCGCGAGCAAAATCCAGTGAAAAGATGAAAATGAAACTAATGAAAACGTCTCCATTAATTTGTGCATGTAGTCATTTAATGCAATACTTTAAAAGCCTTTTTCAAAATATTTGCTACTTGCAAATGCTAATTTGTAGGCCATTGAATTTTTTTTAATAATAATATATTCATTAAAATTAAAAACAAACATGAACTAACATTATCAATGGACAAAATCCCCACTATCTGATCCCCGAAGGCCGCTGTAGGCTAATTCAAACCCAGACAAAGATGGGTGAAGCATTGAAATAATACTATAATGCATATAAAAAAATTAAGAATCGAATCGAATTAATCGAATCGCATCGAATTTGGATGTGAATCGCATCGAATCGAATCGTTCTGAATTTGCACAAATCGTTCATGAATCGAAAACCTATGAATCGAATCGATTCGCTGTCTACCCAAAGATTCACAGCCCTACTAACCAGACATTGTTGATTTTAAAATGCAAAGAATTGAAAATTTAAATAAAGCTCTGTAAACACTTGCATTTTTGTGTCACTATAAGTGTGTCCCATTGGGTAATCAAAAGTTCTAGTCATCACACCTACTTGAACACTTGGGCTAAACGCAGGAAATACCTACATCGTGCAAGTACACAAGTGCAAAGACCGCAAGTGTGATCCTTCCAAAAAAAAAAACATTACTAATGTGCATCTTGAGACAAAACAATGGCACTGACATTTTAAAATGCACTGACATTTTGCTGCTAGAAACAGATTGTTACAGACTGTATACTGAAAGAATAAAAGTGGTCTAATGTTAAAATATTATTTCTCAAATGATAAGAGTAAAATTGCAGGAACATAAAGACTAATGAAACCCATCTTTATCAAACATTGTAATTCGCTGATATGAATAGTTAATTTTCTACAACTATGTTACACATCTAGAAAGGAGCAGACGTCGTTTCTGGTGCAACACATGTTATATTGGGGCTTTGCATGCAATTCTGCAAGACAGATTTAACAGTACACAGTCAATCATCAGTGGAGCATCTCAATTCGGTGAGTTATCTGCTCGTCTCTGCATTAACTGCTATATTGTGCGCATTCTCACATTCAGTATGACATTTAATAATTGCTCATTATAACATTCCCTGTTGCTTACTAACCTAAATTAACATTCACTTGAACACAGTTCAGTTTGCAAATTAATTTTACATTAATTCAAGTACAATTACCAAACATAGATCAAGGTCATTTTGTCTTTTTATTAATTTAATTAATAAACTAATCAGTGCACTAAAAATAAACTGGTTTTATGCCTTTATTAATAAAACTTAAACAACTTAAAAAATACGAGGCTAAAGAGATTAATAAAAATGCCTTCTGCATTTTTGTTTGAAAACTCCATTGTACCGAAATCGTACCAAAGCGTCTGAATGTCTGAACCAAGGTATGAACCCAACCGTGACTTCTGTACCATTCCACCCCTAATGCAGTTTCATTATTATTCATTACTATCCAGAGAGCGGCTTACAAATCAAACATGTGAACATACAGTATATCTCGCCCCATATCAAAAATAACAAATAACCCTTGTTAAACTTAATTTGAACCTATACATTTCCCTTTCTCTGTTAAACACTTTCCAAAGTACATACATTCTCTTTCTCAGCATGACTTGTTTACTCTAAATAACACATTACACTTTAATGTTCTCTTATGTCACATTTCACGACTCTTTTATACCATTATCGAGCAAATCACTTCGTTTTAGTTTCCCTTAAAGGGTCATTCCACCTCTGGAAAGATGAATGTGTATTTAAAATGGGTAATTTATGTAGAAGAAATGTGAAATTATTTTTGAATTTTGAGCTTTCTAGACTGAGAAAAGACAGAAAATGTATTTTTGGCTTATGTGGATGAAAAACAACAACTCCCAGAATGCACTTGCTTTGCTGCCCTAGGAGGCCACGCCTATCGGTAAACGCACAGTAGGTAAACAACAAGTCTAGGCTAGTGAGTCTCCGTGATGCGAGCTGAAACTGAACTGAAAATGCGTTTCGAGATTGCCCAATATGTCCGGGATTCGGCTTTTGCGTTGTACAGTCGTTTACTGTGGCGAGCGGAGACGAGTGAGAGCTGTGTGGAGAACGACGCGAGTCGTGTTTACTGTGGCGAGCGGGACGAGTGAGAGCTGTGTGGAGAACGACGCGAGTCGTGTTTACTGTGGCGAGCGGGGACGAGTGAGAGCTGTGTGGAGAACGACGCGAGTCGTGTTTACTGTGGCGAGCGGGACGAGTGAGAGCTGTGTGGAGAACGACACGAGTCGTGTTTACTGTGGCGAGCGGGACGAGTGAGAGCTGTGTGGAGAACGACGCGAGTCGTGTTTACTGTGGCGAGCGGAGACGAGTGAGAGCTGTGTGGAGAACGACACGAGTCGTGTTTACTGTGGCGAGCGGGACGAGTGAGAGCTGTGTGGAGAACGACGCGAGTCGTGTTTACTGTGGCGAGCGGGACGAGTGAGAGCTGTGTGGAGAACGACACGAGTCGTGTTTACTGTGGCGAGCGGCACGAGTGAGAGCTGTGTGGAGAACGACGCGAGTCGTGTTTACTGTGGCGAGCGGGGACGAGTGAGAGCTGTGTGGAGAACGACACGAGTCGTGTTTACTGTGGCGAGCGGGACGAGTGAGAGCTGTGTGGAGAACGACACGAGTCGTGTTTACTGTGGCGAGCGGGACGAGTGAGAGCTGTGTGGAGAACGACGCGAGTCGTGTTTACTGTGGCGAGCGGGGACGAGTGAGAGCTGTGTGGAGAACGACGCGAGGCCGGTGGCGTGATTACCGATGAGCGGCACCTGAGACGGCACCAGTTACTGGTCTTGTATCTCTCACGGAGGAGCGGGAATTTTCTTAGCAATGTTAAAACCCACATCAACCGATCACTTGTTTAGCGTTCATGTAAACAGTACATTCATATTCAGCAATCAGAATGAATTCAGTTAGATTAAAACAAAAGCTGTAACTGCAGAAAGCAAAAGCTGAATCCCAGACATCGATGGCCGGCCATATCTGGGAAAAAGAGGATGGTAACACCTAAAGCTATAACTCAGCTTTCTCCACAGGACAACAGCCTGCTAGCTTAGCTTCCAAAAAAGATGTGTAATGCCAATCCTACATAATGCATCCGTCTGCGTATTCAGTACCTTCGTCCATATTTTCAAAACATTTCTGCGGTGAAATCAGACGCACTGGCACTGATCTGTGATTGGTCTGTTAGCACATTAGGTCCAACCCCCTATGGGTGGGTTTGAAAGGGTGAGATCTTGTGTTTGTAGTTTTTCCAGAAATCCCCCTCTCTTATACTTCCTCCTACTATGACATAAAATGACGAATTTTGCGTCTTTG